ATTAGTTTCTTTGACTTTTTAGTGGTTAACTATTGCACTAAAGCTGCCTAGGAAAGAGATATCCCATTTGCAACAGATATAGTTAATGAAAAATATAATATTCCTTCAGCATGGTAAAATTACTAAATAATTCAATTCAAGCTTTCTAAAGACCATTAGCATATTGAATTTTCAACAATACCAACATTATTTAATATCAACCCATTTATTGTGTAATGCCCTGTACCTCTCACTCATGTATCTTCATGCACATTTTATCCTTCTTTTGGTGGTGTAGTCTAAATGCTACTTAAAGATTAAAACTATGATTTATTATTATCTTAACATTCCAATACTTATATTACTTTTTGTAATTTCATTGTTCTGTGCACTGATGGCCGATTCAAAGGAAGATTTAATTCCAGAGGTGATCCATCATGCTGCAAAAGTAATTTTTTCACATGCAGCAAGAATGAATCTCATCACCTTACTATCTTTCAAGGCATCACCCTCCTAATGACAAAGTGATTTACTGACTTGGCTGAACTATTTTTCTTCTAAAAATTTAGAACCATCAGAAATATTTAATGACTCGATTTAAAGTGCTGAAATAGAAGCACACTGAAAGAATATTAAAATGCTGGTATTCCCCCAAGAATTAACACTGTCAAATCAATAGTTTTTGAAGAAGTGGAAGACATCATGTCCGTTTCAATTGCAAATTTGCAAGTAAACACTGTAAAAGGAATGTTTCTTATTTCTGAAGAAGCATGAAAACATCATGCTCCTTTTGGACTGCAAGATTTGCCAAGGCTTAATTACGGAACCTGCACATTCTGCAGGTATAATAATGTATGAGAGGTAACCCCTCTCCTTTAGAAACTACTGGCAATATTTAGAGCAATGCAGAAGATAATTCTGACACTGATTTAACAATTACAGCACTAAAATATAACTTATACGCTTTGCCATACCATTTGTAATGGCAAAATGCCACACTTTCCAAGATATGCCATACAGAAAGAGATACATAACACATCTTTAGTCTCAAATGGCAGAGCAAATCATATCCAAATGTTGTATCTAAGACCCTTTTTTCCCCCCTTGCCTAGAACTTGATCCAACTACTAATAAAATTATTACTTATTTACAGGCATCAATACTTTAAAATAGGAATTCAAAATACACACTTGTAACGCCACTCTTGTTGGGATGTTATCTTTTCTAGGCAGCATAGTTGCATCTGACAAGTGTTAGCCTATACCTGAAAGAAAAATCACCCAAAAAAACAAACTCCAAAAATCTACTACCCATTTCTCTTTAAACATACAGATTTCCACATCTGTGAAGATGGGTCATATAGGATTAAAAGGTAGTGTGTTTGCAAATATCTGAGAAATGTAGCAGTGTTTCTACTGTAGAAAATTTCAAGCAAATATCAAGATGCATTAGAGTAAAAAAAAAAATGAACAGTAGGTAAAAGATGCAGTAGAGGAACAAATCAAACAGAAATCAATATTTTATTTCTGTATATATTTATATATATATATATATATGTATATGTTCACAAACACAATCAAAATCCCCAGCTCAAAGTAATGATTGTATATAACTAAACACTTAAAAAAATTAGAAAGTTAAATGGCTCATCCCTTTGCACCAGTCAAGATGAAAATATCAGTAAAAAATTCAATTTTTATTAAACTATCTATGTGTGAAACATCTTATGCATGTATGCATTCTCCAGAACCAATATAATGATATGTATATATATGGAACCTTATGGTACTGACAACATATTTGATCAGCTCAAGGTTCAATCAGAATAAACTTCACAGCTGGTAGCTGGAAAATAATAGAACAGAAAGAAAAGAAAAAAACATGCTTAAGGGTATGGGAGTTGGATAATAAACCAGTGAGATAAAATACATCTTCTTATAAAGTTTTAGTGATCACCAATTTTTCACAACATCCTTTACTACGAAAGGGAAAAATCCTGAAACAATAATAATGACAATACTGTAATCAACTGTTCATGAACTTCAGCAGTACAACTTGTTAATAAATTTCAGTGGTACAGTGGCGCACTAACACTAGCATAAGACAGTGTTAGAACAGCTAAAGGACTGCTGACAGTGTGAAAAAGTGTGAAAAGAATTTTGGGACATGGACAATGACTCGAAAAAGCTCATTCTGACATTAACTGATCTGTATTTTCCTGAACATATGACTGAAAATAGTTAAGTTCTTGCAGACACCCTTTAACATTTTGATGCAAAAAAGTTCCTTTGGTAGCTATCTAATGCTTGTCCTGGTTACACTCCTCTAGAATTCTGTAATTTCTCAGTTGCAGGGAAAGAACTGTAGCATTAAGAGCACGCTCTAAATTGTCTGTGGCTGCTGAAGGCAGCTGTGTTGAGGCAACACAGACTCCAGAATCCTACCTAATCTCGTGGCATATGTCAGGCTTTTTTAGGAAGGAGGTCACCATCTCAGTGCTACAGGGGCTGTGGTTATGGATAGGAGCAACCAAAATTCAAACACTCAGAGCTACCTTTCTACTTGAGTATGCAACTGCCTTACACTAAAAATCAAAGATCACTGTTCCTGCATTCCAGAGCCTGCTCAAACACTGCTCTTTGAATTCATACAAAATACCTCAAATCTACTGTTGATTTTATTACTGTGCTGTGATAAATATGATTTATTATTCTTTTATTCTTTATTATTCTATTTGATTTATTTTAAAACTGTTTTTTATTTGACCCCACAATTTTAATCCAAAACATTACTATAATACAGGTTCTCTAGGTATCATTTTGCATACTTCTGCAACATCCTGTATTTTTGCTCACTAGTCAAGGAATTGAGATTTCCTACATGCCTTTTCACTTTTACCAGCTTATAATAGTGGTATAGGCAAAAAGTAATTCAGTATCTTTTTGCATAATGGAGCTCTCATTCTGTTATATAATTCAAAATATGTCATAACTCAAAAAATAAGTAATTATTTTTTTACATAGAGAAAGCCAGCAATATGTGTCAGGTTATCTGCAATATGCATCTTGTGATTAAAGAAATACAGTATGGTTTTATTTGGGGAGTTAATAAAGCCTATTTAAATGTTTCCCTAAATATATGGGGAAATTTTTGCTCCAATGACATGAGGAAAGAAGAGAAAAATATTCTAGACTGACTTGAAATTTCTTTTTTCCTGTGTTTTCCTTACTTTGAGGAAAGGCTAGATTTCTAGTTGGAAGTCAAACTGTGATCTTTTCTTCTGTCTGTGTGCTTCATTTATAAGGAGGTTGGATTCAATTTTTACAAAAATATTCTCACCTTTTCACACCAAAAAAGTAATAATATTAAAACTCTAAGCAAATAAACAAAAGATCCCACAAACCACTCCAAGCCCTTCTTCTGGTTTTTGGTTTTTTTTTAAATTTTTCTGTGCCCTCACAACTTCTTAGTGCCAGTTGTAACAAAAAAAGAATCACAAACCATTTTAATTCCCAACCCTTTGCTGTATCACAGCAGGGTTAGTTCAATTCATTCTGGGGCCACTTGCTCATACCAGAAAAGGAAAATTATTATCCTTGCCACCTTCAGTTAAAGGAAATAGTTTTTCTATCTTTGTCTAATTGGGCTTGAACACAAAGGCTATTGGCTTCACTTCTTGAAATAATGTATCTTGAGATCATAGGAAAATTCATGTAGGAATGGACATCAGGCAGTTTCTAGTTCAAGCTCCTGCTCCAAGCAGGCACAGGGTTCTCTGGGTTTTGTCCAGCTGGGTCTGGAACACTTCAGAGAACAGGACCAGCACAGGATCTCTGAGCAACCCAATGCAGCGCCTGGTTGTCCTCAGAGTGAAGATGCTCCTCCTTCTATCCATTCCAAACCTCTTGTTTCAAATCATGGTTGTTAACTTGAGTTCCTGCCTCTGCACCTAACAATCTGCCAGCACATTTGCACTGGCAGTGGTTTCAAGCCAAATTTTCATGGGTCCACTCTTGAAAAGTTCTCTTTGGTATGGTATAATATAGTAGTGTCAGATTCCTGTAAAAGACCACAGCAAACCAGACAAAACCTGGATGACTTTCCTCAATCTCATTAGTTCTCTGCATGATTCTCACGTCAGTGAGGCTGTTTGCAGGAAATCCAATAAAGGCACTGTCACATACCATGGAGTTCAGTTTCAGATTAACACACTCAGCATCTGCTGTCTACATGCAAGAAAGATATTTAAGTTTGCCGTTACCTAGACAGCTAAGGCCTAGTTCAGTTTGCCTCAGAGATACCTTGGAATGTTCCTTCCTGGCTCCAGCAAGCCCATTAGGAGGCTGCAGGTCTCCTAGAGGTCCTGTGGCATAATTATCTGTTCCACATGGATGTCTCACAGAACATTTTGAATGATCCTAGAGGCATACAAAGGTGTCATTTGAACCTGTAGGAGATGGATATTTGAATCATTCTTTTGGCCTGACTACCATGAAAACATAAAGTACATTGATTATATGAGAATCTAGACACCTAGCAAGCATTTAGACACCAACACACACTTGCACTAATGTGTTCTCATTACAAACTAAAACTCAGCCACAGCCTAACATCCTGACAGATGACAGCAGAAAATTACAGCTCATTAAATGAAATGTCAGTGCTATGTGCTATGGGTGAGAACCATGAAATGCTACCACCATATATTGGGAAGCAGCTTCTTCACATTTTGTCTCAGGTTTTCAATCATGTACACATTTATGAGAGAAGTTCCACATGAGAGAATAACAATGTTCTTCTACTCCTTTTTTATTCCCAACTATTTCATCTAAGGAAAGACTACTAATTAAAGAGCAACAACAAATGAAAGCCAAACATTGTCCATGAGGTAGAAGAGATGAGAAGTCCAGTCCTACATAATCTCAAATTCCTTCTTTCTGTGAATCCAATAGTGCTGTCATACTCAGTAAAATGTCAAAAATAACATACAGAACTAACAATAGTTCTGTACCTTTAGAGAAACAGAAGATAAACTGAGTTCTCAAATATTCAGGGTTTCCATACTTCATGGAAAACTAAAAGGCCCTTTTAGAATTCTTTCTCTTGAGAGTAGCAGAGATTTTCATCTGTTACAGCTTTGAATTATGGTGGCAGCCTTTGACCTTAAAAAAGCTCCACCTAAATTCAATAATTTATATTAATTGCTCCTCTTATTTTTTTTTTCCAGTAAAATTTCTATATGTATTGAAAAAGTACACTAATAATACTAAAATCTACCCTGAAGATGTGGAAGAAGTATAAAAATGGAATGAACACCCTAGGAATTTAAGTAAATAAGATGATGTTGTCAAAAGCAGAAAATATTCCTGAGACACAGGCTGTTCTTTCTGCTGGTTCCGTTTTGTTATTGTTTGGTTTATATTCTGGACTTTTTGTTGGTTTTCCAGCTTTTGATTTGTACTTCTAATGTTTTTCTTAACTTTGTTTTTCGCAGCAGGATAATCTTTATATTCCAGACACATGCCTAATTCTGCCCTACACAACCTTATGTCTTCTTTTCAGATCAAATGATGCAAAACACAAACACTCAAACTACACAGAGGTGCAAACTGAGGTTGAAGGATTGCTTTGATACTACTATAGGTACAACGTTGTGGAAGTATTCACATGATGCTTTGATTAAATTCCTCTAAAAGAATGTTCATGAATTATTCAATTGATGATTAAAAGGGCAACAATTAATTTGAAAAATATTTCAAAATAGTTTGAATAAACTAGTTTTTGAGAGAATGTAAACTACCTCTGGCTACAAGTATCCTGAAGCCATCTGAACCAATTTCTAGATTATCCTAAATATTGCTCTGTAACTTTCTTTTTTGTGTTCATTTATCCTATATCTAGGCCAATACAATTAATGAGAGGCAATACTCCATTGTCTTTCAGATAATTGTGGGGTCTTACAAATCTACAAGTTAGCTATTTCTGGAGAAGACTCCCATCATCATCCTATGAAAAACATAGTTTTTCCTAAAGTAAATTTTTACCTAAAGCATAAATTAAGACTAATTGTGTAGTGAACACCATAAGAAATACTGTGGGATCCCTCTGTTAGAGGAAGGTTAAATTTCCTAAATGAATAAAGGCATTTTTCTTTTTGATAATTTTGCAAAATACTTGTTTATGGCAAACTGTCACTTGTATTCAGATTTAGAATGTAGAAACTACAGTGATGGTTCCTTGGAAATGCTTAAAATAGGTAAGATGGATTGACTGATTGCATATTCCTTTGAATTATTGTGAAAGTACCAGATCTATCTAAATCATGCCATGAAAAAAAGTGGAGTTAGAAGTTATGTAACTTCAAGTTGCTATAAATTGCCTCTTGTTGAAAGCTATAAAAAACATTTTCAAATCTGTCATGTTCCACCTCTTCTGCTTAAAAAAATAAATCCAAGTGAAAATGTCCAAGAAAAGTGAATCAGGCTTATGTTGTTAAGTTGGAGCAAAAGCTTGCCACCATCAAGATTAGATACTCTTTAGCAATTAAATCAAGAATCTGGTCCATTTTTATGTCCAGAATGTACCTTTTACAATAAGACACTATATTTTATTAGGTTAGCAAAACCACTGTAGCTAAATAAGCAACAAAACCAGATGAGACATACCTCTCACAGATACACTGTTATCATTTTTCGTTTAATCCAAGTTTGACTCTTGAGTACAGATTTTATCTATCTTCTTTCTGCTGCTGACATTCCCACGTGCCCTCAGAACAAGTTATCTGACAAAGCAGCCAGGAAAATGCATTTTCTACTTCTCCTCCCACAGCAGCATGCAAGATGACTGCGCAGCAAGAGCGTCCCAGAGAACATGCTCTACAAGGTCTGATCTGACCTCCAGACTTTGCCAGAGAGCACTCTCACATCATGGACCAGTCTTACCTACCACAAAGCTGGAGGAATGCAGTATAAAGAGAGCATGAAGGAGCCAGAAACTGCACTGAACAGGAGAAATCAGCACAGCAGACAGCAGAAGATAATACAGAGCTTCAAGCTGTAAAGAAGCAGAACCCAGAATCTGCTTTTGCTAGTCCTGAGACTTACCACCATAGCCAGGAGGAGCTGCAAAACCATTGCCAGTGAGATGAATGTCAAGCCCTTCTTTTCTAGCCTAAAATATGTATTGAATTTGAGAAATGAACTGCTTTTCCCTAATTTGCTTTATATATATATATATATATATATATATGTATGTATGTATGTATGTAAGTTTTATACTGGCAGTGAAACTTCAAATCTCTTCAGAGTTTCACTGGAACCAGAGACTGAAACTACTTCAAGTGAGGCTTTGAAAGTGGGCATCCAGAAAAGGCACTCATAATTTTCAGGACAGAATACCACTCTGCAAATAAAAACTTGCTTACTAGCAGAACTGCCTTTCTCAATTAAACACAGTGGCTGGCAAAGCAAAATAACAAGGGATCATGGCAGAATTAGAGTTGATATGTTGAAAGTGTGTATCACTCAGCACTGAGTACCACTCCATGATTATACCCTATTTTGTACTCTGAAAAACAACAGCCTCCTACAGCAACAAACACAATTATAAGACAGATACCATTTGTACCAGGAAACCTGTCTGCTACTTAAAAAAAATACTAAAAAGGAAAAACAACCACTTGTGGTGAAATTAGCTGAAATTAGCTCTGATGATGATCTGTTCTTTAAATTGGGAAACTAAAAAAGGATGTTTTTGTTCAGCATGATTTATTTTTAGACTGGCAAAGACACAATGGTAAACAGAACTGGAGCTCTGTGGGCACCTTCTGAGGTTAAATTACCTTTCATGCCATTTGCACAGAAGACTGTTCTCAAGCAGCTTGAGCAGATGGTCGGGACACCATTGTCCGTTTACTTGTATCCACAAAGATAAACGATTGCTCTTTGAAATCCTGAACAGTATGGCCGTTGTGATGCTTTAGGCTGCCAAGGAGAAAAAACAAACAAGCAAACAAATAAATATAAATTTAACTGAGGAGAACAAAAAAGTTTTGACAAAATTTCATGTTAAACAATAAGTACATATAGAATAATAGAACTTTTTAGATTATATGAGGTATCTGAAATCACCAATGTTAACTTAACAATGCTGAGTCCACCATTAAGCCATGTTCACAGGTACCACATGTCTTTAAAATACCTCCAGAGATGCTTACTTCACAACTTCCCTGGATGGGCTGTTCCAATATTTGACAACCCTTTCCATTAAGATACTTTCCCTTAAAGCCAATCTAGACCTTCCTCTGCACTACTTGAGGCCATTTCCCCTTCCCCCATTTCTTGTTAGATGGGAGAAGTGAGTGACCCACACCTTTCTACAACCTCTTGTCAGGTACTTGTAGAGAGAGAGGGGGTTCTCTCTGAGCCTCCCTTTCTACAGACTAAACACCCCAGATCCCTCAGCAGCCTCTCACAGGACTTGTGCTCCAGACCCCTCCTCAGCTCTGCTGCCCTTCTCTGGACACGCTCCAGCACCTCAGTGTCCTTCTTGTAGTCAGGGGCCCAAGACACAACACAGCACTGAGATGTGGCTTCAGCAGTGCCCAGTACAGTGGGACAATCCCTGCCCTGCTCCTGCTGGCCACACTACTGCTGATCCAGGCCAGGATGGCACGGGCCTTCTCGGCCACCTGGGCACACCCTGGCCCATGTTTGGCTGCTGTCATCCAAAGGTCACTCCCAGGTCCTTTCCCTCTGGGCAGCTTTCCAACCACCCTTCCCATGCCTGTAGCACTGCATGGGATTGTTGTGATCCAAGGGCAGGACCTGGCACTTGGCCTTGTTGAGCCTCATACTTTTGGCCTTAGCCTGAAATATCAGTAATCTAGGACAATTTCACTAAATGAATACAATTTGTTCCTGAATACTTATCAAAATAGGAGATGCAGGCAAAAAAACAAATCATACACAGTAACTCTGACTGAAATAAGAATCTACCATGTCTGCACAACTGCTTTTACTACATACAACATTTTGAGTGAGGCACACTGCCAAGTAACAACTCGTTCTGCCTACTGTGCCAGTGAGGTAACCAGAGATATACAGAACCATGACATATCAGACAACTGCCAGGGCACAGTGATCCACACAAGTATTTGCTGAGAAGGTAATTTCAGTTTTTTTAAGAACTTCCCAAACTTATTTGAGTGAAGCCCTGATTAAACATACCAAATGTGAGCATTTTGCCAACAAGCAATTTCTTAAAAAGGCATATTTATTATCAGAGTAATTTCTAGTAAGAGAGATGAGATCTCCAAAGGATTGGAGACAACATGTATAACTACAATGGATATTCTAAAATCTTAGAAACAGTCTTTAGGATTTAGGAGTTAAGCGAGCAGGTATGAGTCTTCGGACTTGCAACTAATAATTGCATAACCTGTCAATCTTAAAAGCTCACAGAAAGAAAAGGAAAAGCAAAGTTTCTGGATATGGAAAGAATCACATGGAATCAGTGAAGAGGCCTAGACATGGACTTCAACACACACAACAAAATAAGACAGAACTGGGTTTAGAAAATAACAGTGAAATTAGATAACTATGACTCACAAGCCACTCAACATCCTGAAGACAGCAGGTATTGCAAGGCATTTAATTAACTAAAGTTTCATATAAAGATGTATAGTTGTTTCTGAAATAACTGCTTATTTAAATAATGACATAACAAATAAAATTCCTATCCTCTATCTAATACTATATACTTCACAGCAAAAGCAAATAAACAGTGGATATATTTCTCCCTTTCTCATTTCAGTCATCAAATGACTTGTTATAATCTCTTTTTGCTGTGATGTTGGCATATTCAGTGTGCCAGCAATAACTGTACCATTTAGACATTTAAGATTCTTGTCAGTTTTAGAAATTGTTAATACTCATTGGAGTAAAGAAAGAAAGGAAAAGACATGTTGAGATGTCAAATAGTGGCATCCAGCAACACAAAGTAATAAGTTCTGAGTACTGAGGATTAAGTATAGCTCAAAGAAGAAGAAATAATTTGGAAATAATAGAAACATGAAGAAGTACTTAATAAAATTTTAGGTTAAAAAGTTAGAAAAAGAGAAAAGTTTGCTTTTGTATAGGAATAAAAGAAAAAGCATAAATGGGAGAATTTTTCCTCTCTGCTTTCGAAAAGGAATGAAACCCCAAAATGGGTTTGTTCTAAATATCAGTGTCTTATGCTAATGTCATTTCCATTAAAAATAAAAAAAACTTTAAGGCCTTTCTTCCCCCAAGAGAGCACTCTCCATGCTTTATTTCCACCATTTTTTTTTCACAAAATTAAAGGGAAGGCCACTGTCCCTCAGCTGTTTGCCTCTCCTTAACATCCCTAGATACATTTGCCTATTTGTAAATAAAGTATAATGAAAGTAATGACTATGCTTAGGAATATATAATTATAAGGTCACTTAGGTTGGAAAAGACCATTAAGATCCTTGAGTCCAACCATAAATCTAGCACCATCCACCACTAAAGCATGTCCCCAAGTGTTGCATCCATTTATGTGAACTTCATATCTCAGAGAATAAGCTGGAAATACAACCAACCATCTCCCAGTAAACCAACAGTACATCCTTCAAAATCAGAGGACTTCACTAAGAAGTATCTTCATTATTACAAACTGAACATTATTTTTTTCCTCATAAAATAACCGGTAAGTTGTAAAAATAGTACAGTATTTTTATACGAAAAGAAGTTATGAGGTAGTCCATGAGGAATATGATAAAGATATTCCTACATCAAAAATTCATTTTCACTGAAAAAAACCCTGAAATATATTTTTTGCTATCCTATAAAAAAATTTTTAAAAAAATAAAAATAAAAAGACCATTGAATAATACAGAGACAGTTGCATTGCAGTCAGATATCCTGTTTGAATGATATAAGTTAAAGAGGATGCAAAATTTTATAGGAAATACGGCAAACCTGCATTATTTACAAATGTGCTATTTGAAATCCGTTTTCCATAACTTCTGTGCTGGCTGAATTGAGGCACCCATAAATGCTTAAAATATCTGTTTAACTCTCTCCAGACATGAAATTTCCCAAAAATATATCTACAAAATGTATTTGAAACTGCTGCGAATAAGAATTCAGCAAAACAAATGAAATTTCACTTTGTTTCATTGCCCTTACCATAAGCTAACAAGTGCCATGAAGGGTAGATGGGTAAAAGCAATACACTCAGAGAAAAGCAAGTGTATAGATGGATTTTCAAGAAAGCCAGGATGAAAACCCAGGTGCAGAATTTTTTCTAGTTGAAACAACTGCGATTTTTTTTTTTTTTTTCCTTTTTCAGTAAAGCAGTAACAATTTCCTCCACATAAATATCTCCTAGATCCTCCAGTGAGCTAAGCCATAATTAATGTACAGTAACAATTTGTCAGCTGCTGCAAAAACTGAGACACAGATTTAGGCTGTCTTTCCCTTTATACAACTGGGCATATACATCTGATTACCAAAGATAGTTTCCTTTCTTCAGGTTTAAAAGTGCAAGAGGCCCCAGTGGAAAAGTCAGGAAGGTGTTCCCATCTCTCCATTATGCAGTAAGTTAAACTGATCATTATTTATGGGGAGGGAATATGCTGCATATGCTCAGAAATAAGACTCGATAAAAAACAACTTCAGTATAAACAGTTGTACAGCAGCTGGTTCCAATAGGAATTTCTCAGTAGTTAACTCCTTTCATACTGCATCTCATTTGTGGGTCAATAAAAAAGTAGCAGAAGAATTCTGTGAGATAACTGAAATTACACGTGTCTTACAAGGAGTTGAGGATACAGCACATATTATTCCATAATCACAGAAGTATTATAACACAAAATAGAAAAGCTGCGTTTAGTCTCAGTACCATAAGTGACCAGTGTGAAACACATTTCTAACAGAAATATAAACAGAAAACGTCTAGTCTAAATGAGGTGTGTTAGAGGTAAAGTTGTTTAGGAGAAAAAATGTCAATCAGAAAAGCAAGTAAATGTCAGGTAAATGACAATTTGGTGCTGAAATTAGTAAAACTTGCCCATTAAATCTTGAAGAAAATGGCTTATGAAGTTTTCAGCTAAGATATATCCACAGATTCAACCTCAGTTTTACAAACATATGCCCTAAGAAGGAAAGACTACTTGAAACTGCATTATTGCAGAACTGTAGTTATTTCTTAATTCTGAAGTCTTTCTTTCATTAAACTGAATGATACAAAATGTCAATCTTCACTGTAATATCAGAGGAAGAACAGATATCCATGTCAGTGAAGACAGAATGAGCTCTATAATAACATGGACTGATCACAGAACATTCCTTTAGGATCAAATAAAAACCTTTCCCTGAGCAACCCATGCCACGGTTGTTAATAAAATACTGGCTTCTGACTTGCTGGAACTAGTACACCAAGAATTTAGACTTTGACACAGGATTTTATAGTGGTAAATGAAATGGGAGCTTTCAAGTATAATATACATTACTAAGAATGGAAATATATCTGACTTTAAATAAAAATTAATACCATAACATATTTGGAACAATTTTTCACTTTCAACATGCATGTCTTTTAGATACTTGGTAAAAACCATGCCCATTTATCCAAGGTTAGAATTTCATTACCCAAGTTCCACTATCTAAGGAAACAGAAAGAGGAAACTAACATAATATCCAAGCCCAAACGAATTCTAGTCAAGTACATAAAGACTCTAAAGTGAATAAAATTTTTTGATATTGTCTAAGTATAAAATGCTTGATTACCTACTATTTCCTACATCGTGCAGACATACATACTTTGTGCAGAATGGGTGCTAAAAGAGGTACCAAATCAAAATGACTATGCTTCACAACACTTTTTACAGGTATAAAGAAATAAAGAAAGTAAAAAGAAATTCCTAAAACATCAGTAAATGATGAAACCACATGCCTTTCAAGAAGTACTAGAAATG